CTTCGTGGCGTAGTGGTCTCCACGCTGGGCGCATATTCCAGGGGTTCGTGGCTCGATTCCCGGCGAAGGCGTTGCTCATTTTTCATCTCTCTTGCTTCAAAAATACCTAATAGCTCTAAAGGGTAAACTACGAAAATGTCCAAGCAGCTAGCCCGTTCGCTGGTATTTGAGCCTGGATTGAACTGCCAACATTCAGCGATCTTGTCCATTCGGCTACAGGTGGGCAGTTAGTATTGTTATGAGAGAAAAGGAGAAGCTTACTCTATCAATGAACAATTCAGCGCATTATGTAATTTAGCATTAGTTTATTTAATGTTGGTAATGTCTTACTGCTTATGATGTAGCAGTTAAACTTTGTTCTGTTTATGCGTTATATGAATACTGTGTTCTGTGTAGCTTCCGGCTTTTCAATACATTCAAATGTCTGATTTTAGAAACACATTACGGATTTTTCGCGGAATCCAGTTTCTCTTTCCACGACTCATTTATCGAATATGATTTTAACAAAGCTACTTAATTACGCTACACGAATCTTCTTTTGCAATGAGTTCTTTACATTTATTCTCCCTTTCATCGGCATTAACGTTTGTTTCAAGTGCTACGAAGCAAAGTATTAACTCGTATCAACTATTAGACTGTTTTCAGAAAGATTAAAAAGGCTTTTAAAAATCTACTGAAAAATCCGAACTTTTGACGTCAGAAGTATTTCATGGCCCCAAAATAAAAATGTGAGATATAAATTTAAACCAGAAATTGCATTTCTAAACTTAGTAAATTAAGTTCAAAGAACTCTTTTGCGTGCTTGCTGAAGACAAAAATATGCTCACCAGCACTTCCTATAAGCAGGGTTATTAAGATAGCAATAGTCGATTCAAATATCTAATTTTAGTAATTTATTACTAAAACTGTTAAAAACGCTAGCATTAGGGTATTTTAATAGCTTCCGTTCTCACTTTGTTCTACCCGTTAAAGAGATTATTAACTACACTTGTGCTATTTCATATTCCTCAGCGTGTGGGTTTTAATGTGACGTCAAATTCATCTATTTTATCCAAAAAACATTTTAGTAGATTCCAATTTTCAAGACCGGGATATTTATTAGTCCGGCCTTTTTTTATATGGATAGCAATTTGACCTTTTTTTCCCTTTAACAGTTAATTTGTTTTTGCCGAGTTCTTTTCGAAGAAATATTATGACAGCTTCGATTTCAAACAAGCTTATATGTAATATAATGAATCATAAACTGTATTTCCGTCGCTTTTTAGAGTAGACAGAAATTACTTTATAGAATATATATAGTATTATTTTTTCTTCGCTTCCTTAGTACAAGTAAAGTGATTATCTGAAATTCCATGAATATCCAATATGTACTTTCGTTCATGTACTTTCGTTCATGAACTAAGTTCAAATTATTTTCAGCAGTTAGCTTCATAATATAATAAGTTTGGACATCAAGAGAAAACAGAAATTGTATGTTAAAAATGAAACTTTATTTTTCATATCTTTTTTGAATTTTTATCATTGAGATCCATGATTAAAAATAACAAAAAGTTGGACAACTTTTGCATGGTGCTACGCTACCCTAAATGCTAACTCCGAGAACCTTAAAGCTAGGCAAACGACTTGGCATACCTTCTGCGTAGAGTAGCACAAACTCAGATTTGAAAAAAAAAAACTGTTTATCAGCACGTCAGACTGATAGAGTAATAGACAAGTAATAGCCGCAAATCGTGAGTGTATGAGTGATGCGTCCCTGAATCGTCTCTCAAATTTTCTCATGTCAAAGTACTAAGATGTAATACCATGACATCAGCGCATGATATAAAGATCAAACCTGATTTTATACGAGTAATTTAATTCTTAATTACTGCAGAACAATGAATTCTTAAATATTCCACCTCCTTTTATGTCAAATCAACATAAATGCTATAGTTCCAACCAAAATGGAAGTTATTCGCAAAGTATATAAATATGTGACCTTTGAAAGTACCTTACACAAATTGAACATGATCATTCAAATCAAGTTACAATCCACATTAGACTAAATACCACCGCAATTCATTGAAAGAGCATCCATCAATGCCGGGCCTCCTACTTAGTTTAGATTTCTCAAACTATAGATATATAAGGGTATCACCAAGACAATTTCATTAAGTTTAGCACCTCGCCTGAGTTCAAGACCATTGTGAATGAATACTGACTGGTCAATAAAACGCTGAGATCCCGATTGTGCCGAGCTCATATGTTACTGATAAAAGCCCTTATATAAAAATAAAATATTATTTTATTTCAAAAATCTTCCACGTCAAATGCGTTGCTTTTTCTAACCCTAGAACGACTGCCAGATGACAGTGCTTCACAAAATTCAAAAGTAACAGCATGAAATTCACAGTAACAGGGTGGTTTTCAAACTCTTATGCGAAGCTTGGCATAAAGTTCAAAACTTGAGACTTTTGAATTATGCCCTGTACCACATTTGATAGAAAATAAGGAGATCTCCTTTTTTAGTTCCAGAGCTCTTCTTATTTATAATTTATAGCATGTGAACTTTCTCTTTAGTGTGAACGCTGTTTATTGATGCTTAGAATTTAAAGACTATGTTATTAGTAATACGCTACTACACTATTAGTACCATAGTAATCATAGTAGCGAAGCAGCTATAAAGGTGATGGGGCCATGATACCAAGTAGGTAAAATGCATGTAGATTCAAGAACTGTGAAAATATTTTCGTCCGGGACAGTTTAAGTTCGGTGGTAAACAAGGTGATACCTAAAATAAACACCGACTGTGTGACTTTCCTTATTGAGTGCCTGAATTATCCAGATTAAAACAGGTATCAATAAGTTTTTATATCAACAATTTTAGCAGAGAATGATATTCTATTCTGCTCTAAATGGACGAAATGCCGTAACATATATCCATAGTAGTTTGAAAAATGGTTAAATAAATAAACTTCGGGCATTGAAAGCAAGATTTATGCAGATTCAATCTCTCGTTCTCCAGTTATTACTCTATTAAACAATTATGCAATATAGTTTGAGCTAGCCTTGCAAGCTATTAATCCAGTGCCAATGAAACATAAAATCGTTTAGAAAGCAAGTCAACGAATATGATATACACTGAAGTGACAAAAGTCATGGGATACCTCCTAATATTTTGTCGGTCCTCCTTTTGCCCGGCGAAGTGTAGCAACTCGACGTGGCATGGACTCAACAAGTCGTTGGAAGTCCCCTGCAGGAATATTGAGCCATGCTGCCTCTATAGACGCCCATAATTGTGAAAGTGTTGACGGTGCAGGGGCACGAACTGACCTCTCGATGATGTCTCATAAATGTTCGATGCGATTCATGTCGGGCGATCTAGGTGGCCAGATCATTCGATGGAATTGTCCAGAATGTTCTTTCAACCAATCGCGAACAATTGTGGCCCGGTGACATGGCGCATTGTCATCCATAAAAATCCCAGCGTCACACTCGAACCCTACCATCAGCTCTTACCAACTGAAATCGTGACTCATCTGACCAAGCCACGATTTTCCATTCGTTTAGGGACCAACCGATATGCTCACGAGCCCACGAGAATCGCTGCAGACGATGTCGTGCTGTCAGTAAAGGCACTCGAGTCGGTCTTCTGCTGGCATAGCCCAAGGAAGACAAATTTCGCCGCACTGTCCTATCGGACACGTCCCTCGTACGTCCCACATTGATTTCTGCGGTTATTTGACGCAGTGTTGCTTGTCTGTGAACATTAACAACTCTACGAAGACGTCGCTGGTCTCGGTCGTTAAGTGCAGGTGGTCGGCCACTGCGCTGTCCATGGTGGGATGTTATGCCTGAAATTAGGATACTCATCGGCACACTTTTGACACTGCGGATCTCGGAATGTTGAATTCTCTTAACGATATCCGAAATGGAATGACCCACGCGTCTAGCTCCAACTACCATTCCGCGTTCAAAGTCTGTTAATTCTCGTCGTGCGGCCATAATCACGTCAAAGACTCTTCACATGAATAACTTGAACACAAATGAAAGCCCTGCCAAAGCACTTCGCATTTATACATTTTCTACGCGATACTACTGCCATCTGTATATTTGCATATTGCTATCCCATGACTTTTGTCACTTCAGTGTAACCCTCTATAGAAGCGTCAGTTCCTTTTGGACTCTTTTATGTCCCATCGTTTTTCCTACTTTATCCAGTTGTTCAAATCAAAGAAACCGTTATGGCTATTCAATCTCTGACAAACATTTTCGTTTTTTAGTGCATCTGGATCACGAAAGTATGAGCGTCTCCAATATTTTTCCTTAGTTATAGAATATAATAGACATCTCGCAAAAATTCTACTTTCATAGTCTGGAGCTTTTAGGTATGCCTTAAAGAAGCGTATTATATTGTGTTATAAAAGTTATAACTTTTATGGCGTAAGAAAGCGTCATTAAAGAGTTCAAAGAAAATTTTCTTCTTATCAAATCTGCCCTATTTTAAACAAATAAGAGAAATAAGAAACAAATAAGAGATTGTTGTTCTTTTTAATTTTTAAAGTTTAAATTATTTAGATAAAGTCAAATTTAATGAGTTTGGAGGGTTTCCCTAAATGAAAGCTAAAAATCTACAAATCATGTAGAAATAATTTGTCACTAATTCTTATAATTAAAAAAACAGCTTTGTATTGAATGAAATATTAGTGTATTTCTATAACATTACAGTACTGGAACTGAATTCACATTTCGGTATTTGAATTATAATTTAAGTCATGAGAAACAGATAATGAGATTAACATTGTTCGGGAGATCAAATTATAAAGGACTGTGACATTTTAGTTGATGGAATTATAAAGGATTATGAGTTCACACCAGACTGGCAGTATTGAGCATCAATAATATGTTTTATTGCTGTAGTTCTTTTTTTTTTTTTTTTTTTTTTTTTTTCATTTTCTCTGTGCTTATGCAGTTAAATGCTAATAAAATACTGAGAATTCTTAATCCCATTATTTCTTTAGATGAACCGGTAAATGAACACGAAAGTCAATCAAATCCGGTTCTGGTTACAATAATGGTGTCAGATGGTCAGTCACAAAGTGGAGGTATGTTTTAATGTAATAATCGTTTTTAAAACAATAGAATTTTTTCCTATATTTCTCACTGTTTACGTTAATTTTTCAGCTTCGTTTGATTTTGCATGATACTTTTTATAGTTCATTTTTCCCGTTGCATGATCATTGTGATATTGGTAAGTTATATTTTCATTTTTGTTCTTCCATTTGTTTTTATTTTTATTTTTAAGTTTCATTGTAAATTAGAAAAGAGATTTGATTTTTTTTTTCGTTCTAAAATTTCTTGGGTTTTTCCCACGGCATGTTTTTAAATTTTTGCCAAATTTTCAAGAAAATAAGTACAGTTGAATTTACTAAAATCAAATATGCTGTAAATTGCTTTAATTGGTAATGTAAATTTATCTATATATTAAAACTTGTAATATTTTACAAAACAGAATCAATCTACATATATTACATTTTGTAATACGTTATAAGTATACTCTTTAATTCCACATTATATTATTACTAACTGAGGACGCTTTTTAAAAGTAAGATGAAACCGTTACCGAGTTTATAAGGGTAACAGTGAATAAAACTTCAGATTATAGTAAACAGACTGAAATATATAATTATTTCAGAGAGGTGTGGTGAACTAGGTGAAGAAATTAGTAAAACTTTAAATAACTACTATATTAAGGTCGCCTAATTTTTCTTTAAAAATGAAAAACATTTACTAACTGTTCTATGATAAAAATAATATAATTCAAAAACAAAATTAAAAAATATACAGTATTCATACCTTTCTTAGTCTTTTTTTAATTGCAGTGCGAACGCTAAATAAGAGTACGTAGAGAGATTATAAAAGCGTATGCTTAGGTACTACCATATTTGGCTATGCAACTTTTTAACTAAATACCATTTACTCATTAAAAAAGCACAATTAAATATTTGAAAATGCGCAGAATTAATGGTAGTATATTAACTTGCTTCATATGAAAACCTGATTAGTCTTTAGTCTTACAACAAATTATAAGATACGGTAAAGTCACCTGAGTATAACGCTACTTATTTTTAACAGGCTACACTCTTTTTTACTTTTCATTAAATAACGCACTTTTAAGAAGTTTTATTCTATAACAATGGTTGCCAGCCTTTTCCCACTTACGTACCCGTTAGCATCCCATTTTTATAGTTCAATTAATTGAGCAATTAATTTGTAATTAATGTAGGAAACCTATCTTATCCACTACTGCTGAAGCCAGTTAATAATAGAAATAAAATTGTAGTGGAATAAAGGAAGCGTTTACAGCAGTAACGAAATCAGTTCCATTACTATTACAATCAATTCGTAACGAAACCCATAAATCAATTGTAAGAGGAACAGAACATTCATATTATACATAAATAAACATAATTACTTTAAAAAATGGGTTCAATTAAATGCATCACTGATCATAAAAAAACTATATTAAATTAATCAATCATTTGTATGAATTTTTAGTTGACGAAAAGAATAAAGTCTACTTGTCGACAAAAAAAAAAAAAAAAAAAAAAAAAAAAAAAAATCAAAATTATTCCACTGATGATTCATATTGTATAAATTAGGCATATTGCTAAATGTAGAAAATGACGCTAGCCGGTTCAAAAGGATTTTGCATTCCTCGTTTGTATAATTAACAAGTTTCGATAATAAACACCGCAAGAGTAAAAATATTCTTCGCCATAGGATAATACACTGTTGCTCAAAAAATAACCCAGAAAGGTAAAACAAGGAAGAAAACAAAAACTATTTAATTGATATTTTGTGAAACTGATCCGAGAGGTTGGACATCACTAGACCACATAGCAAAGGCATACAAAAATACATGTATTACGACCATCATATCGCCAAAGACAAAATGGAAATGGGTTGGAAGAATGGGCAATGACAACGTTACGCTAATTACGGGTATGATACCCTGTAGCTGAAATGTATGCTTGACAACAGCGAGGCAAGTTGGCAATAGTGTCGCTGATATCTTCTCGTGGCAGTAACGCCCATTCCTGTAGTAGCTTGTGAAGGGTCCTGGTGGCATACTGCGACCTGCTGTCCGTCGTCCCACACATGCTTTGTGGGATTCATGTCCGGTTATTTAGCAGGTCACGTCAGATGTTGAATGGTTTCACTCTCCAGATAACTCCGCACCACTCGAGCTCCATGCGGACGAGCGTTATCGTCCATAAATATTGCGTCAGTACGTATTGCAGCTATGAAAGGACTCTCAAGAGTGTATAAAATCGGATGGCTGTGACGGAACCACCAGGAATCACGTAGAGGTCAGCGCGGCCGTTCATTACTATCCCAGCCCATATAAGTAAGTCTTCTCCTCTATAATGGTCTGTAGTCATATCATTGCACTTCGGGAATAGTTCTGTATGTTAAATCTGTAAAGAGTACGTGATCTCACTGCTCTGGTGTCTAGCTACGATGCTCACGAGCCCAATTCAACCGCGCTCTGATATGCGATGCGGACAAAGGAACACAGACCACTGGTCGTCGGGCATACAGTCCACCTTCATGCAGTCGACTCGACACAAGCGGAGTGTGGGCCGTCCTGCAGCAGCAGAGAGATGCGACGCCAGCTGTCGTGCTGTTAGGGATCTACTACATTTTGCACATATGAACAGGAAACGACCTTCTGCCGTTGTGGTAATCCCAAGGCGTCCAGGCACACGTCTTCTACAAAAAGTTTGATCCCTTAGCAACGATTCCACATCCTATTAATGACACTACAATACACATTCAGCTCTCTAGCAACAGCGGATTGTCTGGAATCAGCTTGCAACATCCCTCCAAAGCATTTCATAGTGCAGATAGTGTCTTCGGCTCATGCTTTCTGCTTTGGCTCTCTAGCATTGCACGAAACTATCGCTACTTGCGAACTCACAAATAGATTCGGCATGCCTCTTTTTTAAGGAGTTGTGGTGTGACTGCGACATTAAGTTTCATGCTAATTTTGTTTGCCAATTCATATTCTGGGATGCAAAACCTCTAACCTCATACGTAAATTTATTGTTTTATTTCGAATTTTTACGCTAGGTTCTTTTCATTTAATGTTTGTTGCTTACTTTTTACTTTCATCCAAAAGTGCTGGTTTCTAACTTCTGATCCTGATAATAAACAAACTGAAGCATTTATTTGAATATTACCAAAGAAAAATGAAGATATGAGAAATTATATTACTGGAATCTACACACAGTGACTAAAGCTTTCGTTCTATTCATCAGTAACATTTAGATATGTATTGAATAAGGTAAAGATGAGAAACAGAATATTTCATGGTCGATTTGTATGATCATGAATTACATTTAGACACTGAGGAGCACAGAGATAAGTTGGATTGTAAATCTGTTTTCTTGCCATTATTATTTCAAATTCTGACGAAAGAAGGCACATAGAAGCTGTTTGGAAGCAACACTTTTTTCCATTTATAACTTTCCAAAAAGTAATTTGCTAAATATAAAACAATTGAATTTGGCTTTAATGTAAATATCTTTGGTACGTTCGAAATCAGTTTAAACCAGCAATTTAAAAGAAATGAAAATCTCTGACGCAAACCAAATTTGGAAGACAGTAACCAGATTTCTGAAATTTAGCTTTCAGAAAATCAATCTACTAACACTGCTTACTTTGGGAAAGAAACACACCTACATTCATCAGAATACTAGGTACGCTGAGAATTCAGTTCCAAGTCGGAAATTAAAAATAAAATTTTAAATAAAAAGTAACGAAACGTTTTTAATTTTTTAAAGTATTTTCATCCCCTTTTCGTAAATCCTATTTTTAAGACCTTGGGCTTTTTACCCCTTCAAGATAGCATGCACTGAGACATTTATCATACCGGAAGCCGAGTTTTTGTATACCCTGTCATATACATCTAACCACAATATATACTTCTGCACCTTGTCATATACATAATATACATAGACCATTATGAAATACCGTTTACTGAAGCTCTTCGTTGTTAGCAAAACATTTTCCACTAAAAAACTGATCATCCTCTAGTATAACGCCCGGCGCATGTCATTACATCCAGGCAACAACTATGCGGATGCGGATTTTGATTGGAGATTTCGGAACACATGGCTCAAAGCCTCAACCTTGCCTAAGCGCTAGGAGGAAAATATATTTTCCCTAAATTAAAAGAAGCGTTGTATCAAACTGTTCGAGAATATATCATTTACGAAATGATAAAATACAAATTTGAATCGTATATTTAATTCAAATCCTTTTAAAAATTTGTTGCAGCTGCAAACACTTAACCCAGGTTCAAAGTAGTAAAACGATTAGAATGTTTTCGGTTGTAACTTGGTAGACAAATAAAAACATACAAATAATGACTTTACTTTAATCTTGGTGTTTAACTTTTATAGATATTGCCATTTTAATAATTATATTTACATAATCGTAGATAATACTAAGGAAGATAGTAAATCAAAATAACGACTTTATAAAATAAGTTCACTTCTAATTCTTGGAGCATAACCTATTTATATCCTCGGCATACTTAAAATGATTTAGGTATTATCATAATAATCTCTACATGCAAAGGGGAAATGAAGAGTTCATAAACAAACAAGCAACCGGACAGCAAAGCTACGCTTAATGTTCTCGTTTTAAGTTCGTAGTCACTGAGAATAAGTCCTGTTTGGTAACACATGACTTCCTCATACTAAGTGGTGGACTCACAATTTAAAACACATCAAATGATCATCTGTTCATTTAGGATATAATCTCCCTTTAAATATCAGTAGACTGGAGCACTTTATTACCTTCGGGCAGAAGACGTTATTAAATCAGTATGTTCTTAAATATCAGTAAACTGGAACACTTCACCACCGTTCAACAGGAACCATTATAGATCAGTTTCTTGAGTTACTTAAATAGCAGTATTATAACAAAATCCCTCTTCGCAGTTGATCTTTTACATCCCGCAAATTACTCAGGTCCTAATAGTATTCTATATTTCTTCATCATATTCACAGTAGATTATTTTCCGCCGTTTTCTCTTCATTTTGTCAAACTCTCTCAGAACGCTCCACTTAACCTTTACGCACTCCTCTCTCTTACTCTCCTTTTCCACTCTTTTTTCATCATTCTCCACTCTTTTTTCATCTTTCTCCACTCTTTTTTTCACATTTCTCCACTTTTGACAATTTTTGATTAATTGACATTTGACCTAATTATTAATTAAACTTGACTTAATTATTAAGTAAACGATCTTCTGACAAGACCATGCTTCATATCTTCTTACAATAGTCAAATCAGTCATCTCACAATATTTCAAACCAATTATAGGCTCGCAGCAATTAAAATTATGGATCGCACATTTTCCAGCATCGCCCCCAAGGAAAGGCGGCTATTTTTTTGGCTCTCCTTCAAGCAGCAGAAAATCTAATGCAGCCTATAAAATATCTCTTAAAAAAATAATTTTGCTTCTTTGGCAGTCCAAGGGCCATTTAAACAATAAATGGCACTGTGCTCGTTCAAGGCGATGTCCATACTTCTTTAAACATCACTTCACAACTCGGAAAGGACGTTTCTCATTAAAGCAATAGAAAGCATTCTATCTCTGCTAGGGACATAGAACGCGAAAGGATCAAAATTACTAGTCTTTCCTATTGTGGAATCTAATAAACGGTTAGAACTATCCCTGAAATTACATCGCTACATACAGGAGCTTTGAAATGAAAAGCGCATTGTTGACAGCTAAGAGTTTCAGGAAAACGTAATTGCAGTTCTCAGTGAGAAGACGGAAGTATATGAAGAGAGTAAGCAAACTTTGTATCTCGGTTCTCTCAGTGGCATATGTGTTTACATGGAATAATAAACCAAGATCTTGCTTTTAAAATAAAAGGGTTTTTTCAGATACCTTGTTCAGATCTCTTTTTATTACTAAGCGGTACTATTTCCTGGACTTGGTGATAAAGACTAAAGAGAAGAAGAACCGCTCTTTGTTAAACTCATCTCCTCCGTTTATAAAACTTAAACTGGCAAAAGACTGATTCTTCAGACCCAGAATAAACTGTGTGACTGATGAAAGCTGTTTGTTGTTCATTCACTTATCTTTAAGTTATGCAGTGCTTTAATAAAACAGGCTTAGCAGAAATTTCGCCCAGTATGATTAGAACCAGGACCCGTGGGGATGTTGGGTACCCTTCTGTAAACCCTGTGAGCCACTGTTTGTAAATCTCTTTATCCACAATACAGCTGAGAGCGACATAAGACCTTTACCTTACGATTAAAAAAAGCAGTGCTCTAGATGCATTGAAAACTATTTCTGTGATTGTAAATGAGTGAGAGTTTTCCAGAATTAAAGCAAATGTGGTGCATAAGTGAGCACTGGCTTCCTTTCTCGAATACCAGCTGATAGGAGATCGAAGTGGATACAGACATTTAGTTTATAGGAAACCTCATAAAATTATCTTTCCACTAACGCACATTAGCAATCTTTAATTATAAAGGGAAGTGGCCGTTGTAGGTTAAAGAAAAAAGAAACGAAAACATTGATTACACCAGTAATAACCATTAACTGACAAATCAACTTGACAAAGTGCAGTCTGCTTTCTGGCAAAAAAGCGAATTTTGGATTTTAAGCCTGAAAAAAGTATAAATTACTGAAATCTCATGATACGTTTGGTGAATGCAGCCAAAGAGAAGCTGTATTTAAAATGAAAATTTCCCAAACATCATTGTGCAAGTTACTCAAACAAACAAATAAAACTGATAAAGAACTACTAAAAAATGCAAACTCTCAAGGTAGTGCGGAATGGTTAAAAAATTGAGAATCGAGAGAAATTCTTGAAATAGCTCTTCTAGAGATGTATCAAGGATTGAGACTAAACAATGTTCTAATTTGTAAGCTCTTTTAAGCATAAAAGCTGTAGGATTCGCTAAAATTGTAGGAGAAACTTTTATGCCAACTGATGGATGGCTCACAAGATGGAAAGAAAGAAATAACATTGTTTATCGGAAACTGAACGGTGAGGTGAGATGCAAGGGACAGATCATCATTTGGCTGAGAAATGGATAAAAGACATTTTACGCGGGCTTCTGAAAGAATACAATCCAGACGCAGTTTGTAACATAGATGAAACTGGTCTGTTTTACAGAGCATTATCGGATCCCACAAATTGATGTTTAAAAGTGAAACGGCAGATGGTTTTAAAAAATTAAAAGAACTAGTTACTGTGTGATCAACGTGCAATATGGATGAAACAGTTAGAAAGACTCCGTTGATTATTGAAAAAAGTAGAAAATCTCGATGGTTAAAAGGAGTCAAGAACTTTGTTTTACTATAAAAACAAGATCTCATAGATGACAAGCACTATTTTTATAGATTTCCTTTTGAAATAGGAGAGAAATACAGCTGAGAAATGAAAAAATAGCTTTATTCTTAAATAACTGTGCTGCACTCACCTCTGATATCGCTCTGATAAGAATATTAAATGAGTTTTTCTTCCTGAAAATACGACTTTTATCATTTATCATTTAGACCAAGATATTATAAAAGCTTTCAAATGTTACTACATAAAATGTACGTTCAAAAGCAGATAAACAAAACCAAATCTTATATAAAAACAAGCATTTCGAAGGAGATAACTAAGTTGATATTCTTGCAAGAGGTTACGTATATTATAATAAATGCGTGGGAGGCAGTCTCCCAAAACACAGAAATTGTTTAGAAAACGTGGTTTTTATTTAGAAGAAGTCACAGAGGAATTGCAAGATATTTCTAATATTTGGGACGTTAGTTGGATAACTCATGAAGATTTACTTTTAGAATATTGTTACGAAATGTCCAGGCGCGGTAAGATAGCTTCCCCGCAAAGCAGTTTTAGGGTTGCCATAAAATGGCAAGGGAAGCCCGGGTTGCCATATTTTGCGATAATCGCCCATTTGGTGACATTTGGCGACAAAATTGGCGATATGCCATGGATGGATGGAGAACCTTCTGGAACGAATTCTTACCGGTTTAGCCCAGAATGTTCTCGAACACCAGTCAAAAGCTATATAAACCATGCTGGTCCGCAGTCAGTCAGAGTGTGCTTCGTCGAGAGGGCGAGAAAGTGCCTCGCATAGAGTGCGAGTTAGTAGTATTGAGGTGTGTGCGTCGTCTAGCGAGCTGATAGTCAGTCATTGAGTGAGTGTCTCGAAGTCTAGCGCCAAGTTGGTCGTCGAGTGCATCGAGAGAGTCATTTAGTGCGTCGCGAATTAGTGCATCGCCGAGTTTTGTCTTAGACTGTGCTGAGTAGAGAGCTATACTCTTGTGTATCGTCGAGTGCATCGCGAGTCGTAGCGTGGAGAGTCTCGAGAGTACGTGGAGTTCCGAGAACGACCGAGCAGAGTCGTCTTCATGGCAAAGCCTCTAGTGCTTTGCCGTGAAGCTGTCTCCACCGTGATAGCCTGATAATCTGAAGCCTGTGTCGCTGATCGTGTCAGCGTGTTTATAGTAGTTCATCGACGACTGTCAAAAGGTGTTTTGGAGCTGTCCTTGTGTACCAGCAAGTGTGTTTCGATACTTCATCAAGTGTCGTCGTTATTCACTCCAAATCTACAAACCCCTTACGAACGTGAAGGAAGAAAATAACGTAACAACTGGTGTCAGGAAGAGAAAAACGCAACAATATGTTGCAATTGATGATAATATTGAGACAGCATGTGAAAACACTGGATACGATATTACAGAAGACGTTAAAAGAGCTGCAGAAACTGAAACTGACACTGAAAGTGATACGGAAGAAAGTGAGTACATGCCAACCTCAGTTGAATAGAGATGCGCACTGCAAACTCTCTAAGAACTCTTGAATTGAAAATAATAAATGAATAAAAAATAAATTTTCAAATTTCGTTAATAATTTTAGCGTTAATTTCTAATTAATAATTTAGGTATTAATTATTAAATTAATTGTTAGTTACTAGCTTACTAAATATGTTCAAAGTTGATACCGTAATTTGCAATTTTGAAATCGACGTTTATTAAACTCATTATGCGCCAAGAACTAATAAACTTGTTGGCGCATAATGAGTTGAACTAATAAAATTAAATACGTTTGAAACGGAAGTGATTTTAATAACCGGAGGGTATTAAAATTTCATATACTGTTAAGTTTCTTGCATACCTAAAATCCTGGTTCGTCACCTTGGGTTTACGCATTTCATAAGATGAAAGACACTGATCTCTACCATTCGCCAATTCTTGTTATTCAAGATTAGCTATAGATTTCCATGTTTCTTAAAAGTACCTTTTTAATGCTAATTTTTCCTCATCACTCTTATATCTGTGGTATTTCAGATTGTACTGCTGCCGGTGTCACATACAGTCATGGATCATCCTGGCATCCTGTGATAGGACCGTTTGGGCCTATGGACTGCGTTTACTGCAAATGCCAAGTACGGTATTTAAAATATCATTTTAGCAGTGCTTTTAAATTAAATTGTGTGCATAAACTCGCTAATATTACGAATATTTATTTAATTTTCCAGAGCAATATATATTTATCACAGTAACTGAAATGATGTGAAACATTTTTTGTTACTTGCACGCTTATTTCTTATTATTTATTTATAAATTGTTTAATTTAATTATTAGTCCATAGGCGTCAGCCCAGAAAGGCTATTAATTTCGTTTTGGCGTTTTGCGTTGAAAACTTTAAATGTCGGTTCACTTTTCAAACTGTTGCCACAAAATTTTACAGCTCTGTATTATATTTAAAGAAATTAAATAATGAAGCATCTGCATAAATGTATGTATGTTTATTGCATTGTTATAAAACGACGGTACCTAGAGCCGGTACCTAGACGGTACCTAGAGTCATCACATATTGAATAACGTACCTTTCCATCCGAATATGGGCATCAGGAAGCCCAAATTTAGAATTTGTTTTATTATCTATTTCATATTTTGTAGAACTTTAACGAATTTTTAATTAACAAACTCAATAATTTCAAAGCGAGCAATGACAGCACTGTAGGGAAAAAAAAGACTTTATCTCCAGCGCACGAGACTGTGTATCGGAAATTCTAAAGATATGCTCATTTAAAAATTATTTTGCGACATTGCTGTTGAACTGAATTTTGTGATTTAAGTGCAAAGAACATGGTATTTCACCGGCATATTTTCATCACGAGAGGAAAGGAGATATAAAAAAATGAACCTAGCCATAAAATGTTATGAACCAAAGAACATAAGATGAAAATGTAGATATACATTACTTAGATTTTCGTTGCTGAAACATTTGTTTAAATACAAACTTTTATTTAATTGCAGAATGGAAAAATAGAATGTAGTCGGTTGAATTGTCCATCTGTCCAAACACTATCCTGCTCAAAACCAATCCAAGTTCCTGGTCATTGCTGCCCGCTGTGTACTGATGAAGGTTTGAATAAATATATTTATTTTTAGAACAAATAAACTTCGTATATTGTGTATTTCTTACTTCTAGAATAAAGAAGCGGCCTTAAACATAATATGTAATACTTTTTTCTCTAAATTTATTATAAAATTTCGTTCTGTATGAAGAAAAATTTGGCATGTCAAAGATTACACCAAATGAGTTTTTAAACCCAACTATGGTAATGCTATCAGGTTCAGTATTCCTCCTTACTTGCTTGGGAAACATTCAATGACCTGACTCGGAACAGGGAGCTTACTAAAGCTATGTTCAATAAATGTGGGAAGTAGACAAGATACACAGGAAGGGTATACGAAACCCTTTATTTTTCACTCTTTACAATGATTTCCGGACTTCGGAATACAGAGACCAACCACTTGTGGTCTGAACGTAAGAATATAAAAATATTAACTAAACTCTAACTTAACTTTGGAATAATAAACAAGGGCCTACGTGGAAGATTGGCCGTATATTAACAGGAAGCCGTATGTAGTACAGAGAACTGTTAACACTACAATACGTTTAAAATTATCAAGAGGATTAAACCTCTGGCCTGGAAGGCAACCAGCAACCGAGTAAAACTGCTAAGGCAAGCGGCCTGCTTCTACTAACTCCTTCCTCTCTCTCTCGCTTGGCAAAAAGCCACAACTTAAGTACTTGGCGTTCGCAAGACAAATTTGCATAAATAAGTTAAAGCTTTTAATTCTGGCCGGAAGTAGAAAATAAGAAGTGATAGTAAAGATTTAAAATAAAATAAACGTTAGTAAAACTTAAGATCCTTACATACTTCCCGCCAGAGTTAATTAGTTTGAAACTGAGGTCTAAAACGACCTTGTTGAAAACTTTTAGCTCTAGAATCTAACGCGAGGCCAATCTTTTACAAACATTTCTCACTAGAAACTAGAAATTTTAAAAAAAAATTTGTTTTTACATTATCAGCTCCATGGACAATTACTTTTCATCTGTACTGCATCTAAACAGGAGCTTTTAGTTGAAATCTGGTTCCTTCCAGAGATCTGGAAGGAAAACTAGTTTAATGAAATGTTACACAATTAAATGGCAAGTAACATGAATATTTATATTTCTCTTAACATTCTTATTTCATTCATGACTTTATTTAATTATCTCTCCCCGTGCTCTCTGACATGTGTTGTAAAAGAAAACACCAAACACGAATGTGTTTATGTACAAGTGTTCAACACTACCGCCTGCAATCAAAACACTAACGTGTTAAAAATTCAACATAACAAGACCTCTTCATCTCTAAACCCTGAGGTACTATTCTGAAAGTGGCTAACTCTGAAGTGTAGCGTCAGAGAGCCTAACTACATTCATTCAACCTTTAACACATATTCACAATAATTTGGTCTTTTTTACAGTCACACGAATAAGTTTAAATTTTTTTTTTTTTTTTTTTTGCATTACTTTCACTTTTAACATATCACAGTATTTCTTAACATTTAAAATAACAGTTCACATTGTATATAAGAACATATTAACATGCCGTTAATTTTACGCATTTTAAAACATACATTAGTAGTACATTGTTAACTTCTATTCTTTTCCAAGCAAGTGCCAATTCTTCTACATTGAAATACTACATTTCAAAAGTCTTTCAGACTAAAACTTCTTTCTTGCCAGAATCTTTTAAATAAAATTTTATACAATAACTTTTACAATATTCAAGTATTTACACATTCCTATTATACATCAACTTTAGTTTTACTCGCGAGTAATTGAAAAACATAATACCAAAATAGGTAACAACTCATTTCTCGCCTTTTTGGCGATAAAGGTAGACCTCACATGAGGTAAAACGTCTTGAATTCTGCCACTTGCAGTAAGAATGAAAGATTAACATAAAATTTTACTTATCTTTGTGATATTCGGACATTCTTTTTTTCTGCCCAGTCCTGGAAGGTAGCAAAGATTAGCGTTTGGTTTATCCTCCTTCTTGTGCGGGCTCGCCCTTCAGTTCCTTCCTCTATGAGCTTTCTTTTCCTCCAGTTCGGTCACCCTTGAATACCTTCTTTTTCGCCTCTGCCTGTGGTCTTGGCCGTTTGATGGCAGCTGGTCTTGGCGGAACCGGGACACTTCTCTCTCGTTCCTGCTTGGATCTCGTTGCTGGCCGTTCAAATTTTCCTTGTATCTTTTGCCTCCGCCGCTGGTGTTCCTTCCGCAATTCGGTCGACATTTGCTGCGTAGAGTCCTGTCCGATGGGTAGATCTTCCGTTTGGGAGCCGGGTTATAGTTGCCGTTATTTCTCCTGGCTCTCTTTGCATTCGTCGTACTTCTCCCTTCTTCATTCTGGGGGTGGTCGTGCGCTCTCTTTTCTGGTCGGTGGAACGGCTTCTTTTTCTTGTTACCTTCAATTTTCCAACGGGGAAACTTTCTTTTCAATTGCTCCTGCCTCCTAATGGCTTGCCCTTGTGCTTGTCGTTGTTCCACCTCTGGAGCTTGTGCCTGCCGTGCCGGATCCTGCAAAAGATCTTTAAATATTTGCATTTTATTACGGTCATAGTATGGTTTTATCTGGTCAATGTTTGCGGAGCATGTTTCACCATTCCTGGCTTTTAACACCACTACAGCGTGAGTTATTTTTTCTATGACATATGGTCCTTCAAATCGTGGAAAAAATTTGGCGGTTTTATCTTCTGGTGCTGAAGAAAGTGAATGCTTAATTTTTAATACTTCATCTCCTACTTTATAAGTTACTCCCCGTCGTTTCATATCATAATAGAGCTTTTGTTTTCTCTGTGCTACTTCAGTGTTTTTTTTTTTGCTTCTTTAATTAATTTTTCTATATCACCCATTTTAAATTCTGGGGCTCTTTGTTGAACATAAAATAATTTATCTAACGGCGTTATAATCTTTCTGCCTAAAAATAACTCAGCAGGAGTTTTGCCCGTTGTATCATGTTTTGCGGTCCTAAGGGCGAAAGCAAATTCATTGACATAGTTATCCCAGCTTTTATGAAAATTTTTAACATAACTACGGATAATTTTCACTATATTTCTATTGACCCGTTCCGCTATATTTGATTGCGGCCGATACGGGACCATTTTTAAATGACGTATGCCCAGTTTTTGGCACATGTCTTCAAATATATTACTTACAAATTGAGGACCATTATCCGATATAACTTTTAGGGGCGCCCCGTATTTTAAAATATATTTATTTAAAATAGAATCAGTAACTAATTTCGCGGAGGCTCGTTTTAAGGGAACAATTTCGGTCCACTTACTAAAATGATCAACCATAACAAGGAGATAGCGACTTTTATTTAACTGACTTTTTGGGAAAGGGCCCAATAAATCGATGCCAATTATTTCATTTGGAAATTCGGATTTAATACTATTTAGAAACCCGGCCGGGCGGAAATTAATATAATTAACTGCTTGACATGTTGGGCAGGACTGGACATACGCCCTTGTTAACTTTTGCAGTTCAGGAAAATAGACTGCCTTCGCGTACGCGTTGGATAGTTTTTCGAATACCAGCATGAGAAGCTAAAGGGCTGTCGTGTAACTCCTGCAGGATATTTAATCTAAGACTAGCTGGGATAACAGGTCGAAATTCGTTGTTGGAATTTCGTAGTTTTTGTATAAAATAATAGACCATCTATTAGTTCGTAATGGGCCGCCCTATTTCTTATCGCCACAATATCTTGGTGGCTAAAATTTTCAGGATCCTTTAAATACTCATAAATGTTTCTAAATTCAGGATCCTTACCCAGTTCGGTTATTACAGTTTCTCGGGAATTTATTGTACATGCTGTGAGCATTGCCACCTTTACAGTATTACCTTCTTCATCTATTTTTATTCTGGATAGGGCATCTGCTACGATATTTTCCTTTCCGGGGGTGTGCTTGATTACCAGATTATACTCTTGTAACTTGAGTGCCCATCTTATTAACCTTGGGGATAAGTTTTTCCCTGAGTACAATCTAGTTACCGCCGCATGATCAGAATACACTGTTATTGGCGCCCTTCCAAAATAGACTCGGAACTTTTGCACTGCTAACAGAACTGCAAGTGCCTCTCTCTCAGTCGTGGAATAATTTCTTTGTGTTTGATTTAAAGTTCGACAAAAAAATGCCACGGGCTGCTGATTTTGCGAAAGTACCGCACCTACCGCATAATCCGAAGCATCCGCTGAAATTTCTAAATTCTCATTCTTTTCAGGAAATTTCAACACAGGGGCTTGCGTTAATGCTTGCTTTAATTTTTCGAAAGCACTATTGGCTTCGGCCGTCCACGAGAATCTTGCCTTTTTCCTTTTAATTAATTTAACAATGGTTCAGCAATAGCTGCAAAATCTTTTATAAAGGACCTATAATATGAACAAAGTCCTAGAAAAGAAGAGAGCTTCTTCGCCGTATTTGGCGGCGGATACTTTTGCACAGCGATTTATTTTGATTCGTCTGTCTCGATTCCTTTCTGAGATATTTTGTAACCTAAGTATTTTAATTCAGGGGCTGCAAATTTGCACTTTTCATTTAATAATGAAAACACCTGTCTTAAATCCTGTACATGTTGGTCCAGATTATCACTAGTAATAATGATATCGTCTAAATAGATAAATGTGGACTTTCCAAGAACAGGCCTTAGCACAATGTCCATACATCGCTGAAATGTTGCCGGTGCCCCTGAAAGGCCAAACGGCATACGCAGGAATGCATAAGTGCCAGACTTGGTTATAAAAGCAGTCTTAGGCACGTCTTCCGGTCTAACCCCTATTTGAAAATAACCAGTCGTTAAGTCTAAAGTCGTCATGTATTTGGTAGACGTTATGTTCCTTAGAATTTCTTCAATAATAGGTAACGGATATACCGGATATTTAGTCATGGAGTTTAATTTACGATAGTCAATCGCAAAACGCCACCTTTTTGGATGTGTTACTGGATAGTCATTGTTTTTCTTACATAAAACCACCGGGCTAGCATAACTACTTGAGATGGGCGTTATGATCTTTTTACGTAACA